TTAGCAAGAAGAATACTTGAGTTAAAAAATAAACCATTAATGGTATATGATTCAAAATAAACCATTAATGGTATATGATTCGGAAAGTTAAAAAAAAAAAAACAAGGGCTCAAAAGCCCTCAAAATCTGCAGCTTCTGATTACCCGCAACTTTTGATATTCTGCTGGAGGGATCTTCTCTGCTGGAGGAGGGAGGATCTTTGCTGCCGGGGGAGAGCTGCAAGGGGGTGGGGGGAGTGCTGGATATCTTCTCTACTGGGGGAGGTCTCTGAATCAAAATGATAAAAATAAGTCAAATAATAATAATAATAGTAATAATAATAATAATAATAATTAGACTATTTAGGTGATGGCCTAAATAGTCTAAAAACGTCCCCATTGCTCCCGTCAAAAGAAAAGGCAATCGCATGAGGAAGCAAACGAAGATATTTTCACCGTCAGATTTTGCAGACCAAGGTGCTCCCATTGCCCCCGTTCAAAGGAAAAGTAGTCGCGTGCTGAAGAAAACCAAGAGATTTTCACTGTCTGATTTTGCATGATAGATGGATTTTCAAACTCAGATTCTATTCTCAATTACTGTAAGCAAACAAACGAAGGGTTGTTTCATTTATCTTATGTCAAACAGAGGGTTAGTCCAAATGAATAGTCAAATGAATACATGAATGCTATATTTTGAATGAATGATCAAACCTATAAATATTTGAAATCCAATCACACAGGCTACCCACCCTAATATTTTAATTAACATACCTCACTTTTGATGGCAACACTGTCATATACCGTATTATTTTAACCAAGAAGCAAGATAATGGTCCATTTCGCATGAAAATACATATACATCTATGAACCGATTGAGTCAAAACTGTTACTTTGAAAATATATGATTTAGTGCATATTTACACTCAAGACCATATGTGGTTTCGTGATTGTAATAAATTGAATTGCTTACAGTCTTGAGACACTTCAAAGGTAATCACTCGTGAGAATCCTTACATTTGGAAAAAAAAAAGCCATAGAGTGTAAATATTCGGTTATTAATAGTGGGAAAACTCTTTATAAACGTTTATCTACTGTATGAAGCTGACTGGTGCTATTTGCATATGAAATACATTAGCAAATTGCATCAGTCAACTTCAAGTAGTACATATTTACACTCTAGAAAATGCATTGTTTAGTGCATATATTCACTTTTTGGAAAATAATTGTAGTAAATTGGATTGCTTACCGTCCTTGTTAAACGATTTAGAAAATTGTAATACCTGAGACACTTCAAAGGTAATCACTTGTGAGAACCCTTCATGCACCTCAGACTTTATCCTCTTCGTATCCTACATTTGTATTTTAACTACATCTTCATTTCAAAAATGAAGAAGATACATATACATCTATGTACCGATTGAATCAAAACTGTTACTTTTGAAAATATATGATTTAGTGCATATTTACACTAAAGCCTATATGTGGTTTAGTGATTGTAATAAATTGAATTGCTTACAGACCTGAGACTCTTCATAGGTAATCACTCGTGAGAACCCTTACATTTGAAAAAAAACATAGAGAGAAAAAATATTCGATTATTAACAGTATTAAAACCGTGTGT